CCCCCCCCCCCCCGTCTTTTTCTGTGTGTGTACTTCGGTCGGTCCCGGTCAGATTGCCAGTAAAAGAGGGGGGCGAAAAGCAGAGATCCGATTGGTCAACCTCCTCTGCATCTTTGGAGCTACATTGGAGGGAATGGCCGGGATGACGACGTGGGACAACTTGAATGTGGTTTTGTTGTTCGCCTTTGGCAGGTGCGTTTGTGTTTTCTTACCGCAACATGGTGCTTCAGTGCTTTAGGTTAGCTAATATCTTTCTCTCGTTGTCGTTGTTGGGTTGTCGTATCATAGCATCGAGTTTGATGCCATCATCGGAGATCATGCTTCATTCTGTCCTCTCCTGAGGGCCAGAAAAACTTGCCATCTCGTAGAGTACTTTGGATGGAGAACATAGATATAACCGTGGAATCCCTCCGAGAATGACGGGATTAGTCGATCCATCAGGCTGCCGTTGAAGGGGAATCGGTAGTCTAACGACCACGGCGTGCGTTGACGTGAACACCCCAAAGGAACGAATGTCCATCAGATCATCGTTGATCCTTCCCGTGGGAACAATGCTCCATCCGTCCTCTCCTCCGCTCGAGGACGCGTGGTCAATGGTCTAACCGCTAAGGCACGCACAACATCAGAAAGAGTACGCCCCCCCCCACCCCCCTCCGTAGGTTAATCTTCGGGCTCGGGCTCGGGCTGTCGCTCCGTTGCGGGCCGATGTACCTCAGAGAGACAGTAAGGGAGCCGTTCCGGAACGCCGCAACGGTGTCTGTTAAGCTCTCCATGGTGGTCGGGGTGATCATCTCGTATGTCTTGGGGGGCGTCCTTTCCGGCAACCCCACGATCGGTAAGGCTTGGTTTGGTTTTTGGGGTACCGTACCGTAGGAGGCCCGGTAAAGTGCCAACTTCAATATGTAGTGGAACTGCCAATGTTTGTAGTGGCATCAATAGCTCTTGTCACAGTCTCAACATGTACATGAACAACCCAAGACATTGAGTAGTGGCAGTGCCCTGAACAGTGGCATGTTCTCGTCTGGCCCCTACATGCCACTACTTAATTATATCGGGCCATCTGCTGTAGCGATGATGACCGGTCTCGTTCCGGGATCTTGTTACGAGAATGCGCTGGTCGACAGACAGAGGCGTGTATGTGTGTCGTCGACCTCATGTGTCCCCGCCGAATCCGCGCAAAACATAAATCGACCCGCGTAGAAACAAACACACGGTTTTGGGACGGATTCATCGCTCATTCTGTGTTCGGCAGTACCAAAAACTGTTGTCTGTTGTTTTTTTATAACTATTGTACGATGGTATATTTTGTCTTGTTTTTGGTGGCACAATGGCCTACGTTCAGATTTTGGCCCCGCTCGGAGTATTTTTGGCTTTGCGCGATGAGAAAAAAGCAATCATGAATCCATCTTTCTCTTGTTCAACCGTTTTTCTTTTTTTGTGATGGACCAGAATGCCAACGTGCTTGCTATTTTGTTCGATCCTTTTTTGTTCGTGCCTTAACAGCATACTTCGGGGTGTGGATCCTCGCCGGAACGTCTTTGGCTTGCCTGCAGCTGATGCCTGAGTCGCCTATGTACATGCTCCTCCACGAGGAACAGTTCCACAGGGGGCAGATCCTCGATGCCTTAAGGTGACCGATGCCCTAGGTTATGCCGCTAGGCATACAGCAGTCGCCTATCGGGAGAGGCAGAGAGATACCACCCCCCTTAGACACCCTTTCAAAGTTCGATTACTCCACAACAAAGTGGAGAGCTCGACGCATCTGCAGAAAGCCCCCGACGAGAAGTTTCCAAAACGAATACCGTTCTTGATGTTGGCACAAGTACGAGCTCGGTTGTTAGCTTTGAAAATCGGTCTGTAATAAGGGGGGACCATGTCTCCACCTCTTGGGGTATGTATCATTCGCCTTCTACCTCAACACGGAAGGGAAACACATGTGTGCAGTTGCCTTCCTGTAAGGTGTGTGTAGGAAGGAAGACGTTCCCTCCGACTTTTTTTTGTTTAAGGCATATCGATCGTTGCCGTTCAAAGACGAAGACGAACGGACTACTTTCTGCGGCTGCCGTTGATGCTGCTGGTCGTTGAGCGCTGCAGCATTTATCGCTGCACAAAGATCATACCTGGTCGGTATGGAACGTTACTGTACGGTATGGAGCGCTACGGTACGGTATGGAACCGTACGGACAGGTTCGCGACCCACGGTATCACCAATGCCTCCTCTGTTTTCTCCGGACTCTGAATGTTCCACATGTAGCATGCCTGCTGCGTTCGTTCAGTCGTTCGTTTCTCCTCTGCGGCGCATTCGGGGCATCACAGTCACCGCCTTGGCCTTCTTTTATGTTGTTTTTCGAAAGTATAGTATAGTATAGTATAGTATAGTATAGTATAGTATAGTATAGTATAGTATAGTATAGTATGGTATAGTATAGTATACCGTACGGTAGTATATACTACATGCAAATACAGCAAGACTACGCGTTCGAGATAATACCACAGTCAGTCGAACGGGATGCGTTGAAGTCTCTACATACAACATGATACAGTTAGCGGAAGCAAAAAACGCCTGGATACGTACTGGCTTGTTTTGAGCCTTGTCAAATGAAGAGACTAACCACAGCCTGTGACCACGGGAATCAACCGCGTCAAGCGTTTGACCAGTACGGACAGAAGAAGGTACTGGGTAGAAAGAACGGAACGGTTTTTGACTTGAAGACAACAACAATAACCATTGAATTTTCTCTTTTGTTTTTGGCCTGCTTGCCGGGCATGCGCAGGTTCACGAGCCCGGCGGCCACCGAGGCTGACCTGATCTCCCTTCAGGAGGAGATTTTGACGGAGGTGCTGGCGTACACCCCTGGACACCCCTCCTTCGCCGGGGGGGTACATGGTATCAGCGGCGACGCGTCTTGCGACGGTGCCCCCGCTGTCCCAACGGCTCGCGCGGAGACCGGCACCGCCACGACAACTCCGACAGCGGCAGCACGAGGGGCTTTCTCCGGCAACGGTGTTGGGGAGGGGACAGGGGACGCCACCTCGTGAGTCGGTTGGGACCGCCTTCGCGAGAAATTCGAGAAATGAAGTTTGTGGGAAATTAGAACAGGGAGGGGATTCGCGGAACCTATTCCCTAGCCCTACCTCTGACCCAACTACCCCCCGATGGCATGCTTTATCCAACGTGTTTACTTAGCAGAAAAACCGCGGGATGGCTACTTGTCGGTTAGCACGTATCAAGATATTGGTTGACGGTTTCTCTCTTTTGGCTCATAGTGAGGTTTCCGTGCTGCTGCTCATGAGGCGACAAGACAAGCGGAAATCGATTGGTTCGCCTAATGATATTGGTTGATGGGGTCTTTTTTGTGTTTTTCGACCTCGTAGTGCTGCTGGTCATGAGGCGACAACACAACACAGGCGCGACTCGATTGGTTTGCCTACAGTCTCCAAGCAGGAGAGAGGCGAAGCCAGCCCTGCTGGTTGCTCTCTACGTTTGTGGTCAGCAGTGTACCAACCACTACATTCTACTGCAAGCGGTAGAAAGTGCGTGACGATTCCGATATATTTTCAATCGAGCGGTATACTAAACCTGTGGCCCATCTTGGAATTTTTATTGGCTTTGCCGAACACATGTTGCTGTGTCCTAACTTGGTAGGAGTAGATAGTGCGCTGTTGGCGCTAGCAATTAGCAAAAATTCTGTTCAGAAAAGTAGGGTCAGGTTGTCGCGAAAAACAATAAGGAAAAAAGGCTTACAAGCACAACTCAGCAGTGGATCCCACACTAAACTTCAAACACTGAAGTAGTCCATTCAATAAGTTATGCTCTCCAGTTGCTACGTACGAAATACTCGTAGCAGCATGTGGGAGTGTCGAATCGATAAGAACCACGACCCGTTTGCATTCACGTGTCCATTTTAGAAAATACACACATTCATCTTCAAGAAAGTTTCAAGAAAATATACATCCGTTTTCAGAAAGACTACCAAGTATAATACTGTTATACCACAGCCGAAGAGGGCGCGTTTTATCTCCGGGCGTCAGTTGTTTTACTCTTATGCGACCCCCCCCCCCCCCCCCCCCCCCCCCCCCCCCCCCCCCCCCCCCCCCCCCCCCCCCCCCCCCCCCCCCCCCCCCCCCC